AGGAATTAACGAATCAAATACTTTTTTTCGCCTGGATTTCCCCTTGGCATTCAATCCGATGCCCGGTGCTCTCAACTCTGATTGCATGTGCAGCGATCTTTGGCGCAAGGAATTGCTGCAACCGACAAGCTCGTCTGCGTGCGCATTGTGAAGCGACAGCTCAATTGTGTGGGGCGCAGCGGGTGGGGATGGCGGGAGCGGGTGGTAACCGGCGATGCACCTCCACGTCGACCCCCCGGCGACTTCGGAATTCGGAGCATTTGTGCCGGGGCCTCGCCTTTCGACTTTGGGCGCCCTTTCGTTGCTCAGTTTGGTCCTCTCTTTCTCCAACAACACACGCTCTCAACCAAGCCTTGGCTCCATCTCAGCACGAACCAAGCGTACTGGGCCGGGGGCACGCGGGCAGCATGCCTCGTTCGCTCGTCGACACGGTCTACTCGGGCACCGAGTGGTTTGCGTCCATCGCAGCACCGCCCCTCCGGAGCACGTACGACTTTCTCTTTCCGCCGCTCGACCTGCTCGACGACACACGCGATGCAGCCGCCGTCGGACGCAGAGCAGGCTCGATACCGCCTCCACCACCGACGTACGACGACGAACTGGATGCTTGGGACAGCTTCTCGGACAGCCCGTGGAGCTTTGTTACGAGTCGGTATACGATCGCGCTGGTGGCAGTGGCGATCGTCAACAATAGGATCCAGCACATCTGTCGGCCGCGCGGGGGCGCACGCACAAGGCTGTCGCAGCTGCAGAGGGTGGCGCTGCGCTTACCGGGCCTCGTGCTGCTGGCGCGCGCGGTGCTGATCTTTGCAACGGTGGTGGTGGATGCGTTTGTGGCGCCGACGAACCCGCTCTACGCGGCGCTGCGCAGGACGACGACGGTAGGGTGGAGGGATACGTGGCTGGCGCACAAGCCGGTGGGTGGATGGGCGGGAGAGAGGTTTGGAAGCAGCAGTCGCGATGCGCTGCTGCGTGCGCGCGACGCTACCGCCATGTGGGCCGCCTTCACTTCGACGTGTGTGACGGTGGTCAGCGATGCGCTCATCCGCAGCCTCGATGCGGACCGCGACGAACCGGGCGCGTTCAACCTGGTGGGCTTTGCGTTTCTGCTGCACTTCCACTCGTTCACGCCCGACGCACCTGCGACGGAGCACGTCTACCTGTGCATCCTGCTGCAGCTGCTGCAGCTCTGGACCATCGCGCTGACTCGGTGTCGACGGCCCGTGTACGCGCCGCGGCTGGTGGTGTCGGGCGTGTTTGGCGTGGTGTCGCTGGTGCACTATGTGGCGGTGGAATCGACGACGGGGCAGTATCCGTTTCTCGAGGTGCTCAGTCGCGCGCCGGAACTGGCACTGGTGTGCATCATCGCACTCACCGTCGGGCTGCATGCACTCACCATGCTGCTGCTCGAGGGCCGCGTGCAACCGCACCGGCTGCTCTTTTCGCGATCCAACATGCCGGCGTGGGAAGAAGACTGGTCGCTCGCACTCTTCAAGCTCGGCACGGCGTGCATGGAGTCCACGCGGCTGACGGGCATGGAGCGCGAGGCGGAACCGCTGGTGGTATGGCATGCGCCCTACCTCGAACTCGGCCGCAGCGGCGGCATCGAGCTCGTCGAGCCGCACGCGCGCATCAGCGCAGTCGACGAGGTGGCTGGACTGGCGAGGGAGGTCAAGGAGGTGCGCATCGAGACGGTGCGCCAGAGCGCATGGTCGTTTGGCCATGCGGGGCTCGCGAGGGTGCAGGCAGCAGCGCAGTTTGGGCTCGCCACGCTGCGTGTGGTCGCAGCGATCGTGATGGCCGTGGCAAAGCGGATGGCGAGGGCGGCGGGGGTCGAGTGGCGCGTGCCCGCCTGGGCGTTGCGTGCAGCGAGGGGCGTGAGGCTCGTCTGGCACGGTACCAATGGAGAGGCGCGTCGACAGGCTCGGCAAGAGCAGACGCAACGACAGGTGCAGCGCATCCGACCCACCGTGTCACCCGCCGAACCGGTGCACGAGGAGCTGGACGAGGAGGACACCGACTTTGCGGCGTCGGACGCCGAGACCGAGTCGATCCACTCGGCCACGTCGGACACGGTAGGGGCCGACGAGATCTCGCACCTCATTTCGGAACACACCTCGTCCGAGACGGTGACGGAGAGCGAGGCGTTCAACCAGCTGCTGCTTGCGCACCTCACGCGCAGCGCAGCGCCACTCACACGCTCGCGCTACACGGCGCTCCTCCCGCGCGGCCATGACGATGCCCTATCAGCCGCGCTTGCAGATCGTCGAGCGCCGCCAAGTGGGGCGATGGCAAGGGACGATGCACGCCGACTGTGCGTCGTGTGCTGCACGGAAGAACGCAACGTGATCTGCTGGCCGTGCCGCTGCCTCGCACTGTGCATGGACTGTCGCGAGCATCTCGCCTCGCAACCACCTGCGCGCACACGCGGCCAACCACACACGCACCTCTGCCCCACATGCCGCACACCCGTCCAAGCTTTCAGCCGGCTGTACATCCCTTGATCGCCAACAATTGCAATTGCAACATTTTAGTGCTGCATTTTGAATACGGTCTTGAGCACCTTTCGGTCGTTGAAGAGCTTGTAGTACTCGGGCGCGTCCTCGATGGGTCGCGTGTGCTGGATGAAGCTGCCGAACAAGTCGTGGTGTTTGGCGAGAAGCTTGACGGCCGGGTCAAAGACGGCGCGCACGGGGCAGCGGCCGAACTGGAATCGCAGATTCTTGTTGTACAGATCGAGCCCCTCGAGCGTGACGGCGTGCGTGTGGATACCGCACGACGACACCACGCCAAAGTTGCGCACGATCTTGACGGCGAGCTTGAGCGCATCCTCTGCACCCACCACCTCGAGCGCCACATCGGCTCCGCGACCCTCGGTGGCGTCCTTGAGCACCTGAACGCAGTCGTCGTTGGTGAGGTGAAGCGGGATGGCGCCGTGCTTTTTGGCTTCGGCCAGGCGCTCGGGCACGCTGTCGATGGCATAGACCGTCTTGAAGAACGAGCAAGCTGCCGTGACGGCACAAAGTCCGACGGGGCCACAGCCGATGACGACCGCCACCGAGTCCTTGCGCTCGGCATCGTTGAGCATGGTGTAGGCGTTGTTGGCGACAAAGTAGCCCGTGGGGAAGATGTCGGCGGTGAGCAGCATGATCTCGTCGGGCACGTCGGCGGGGATCGGGTAGAGGGTGGTATCGGCGAGCGGCACGAGGACGTACTCTGCCTGTGCGCCGTCGAGCGGAACACTGCCAAAGACGCGCGACTGGGTGCATCGACCAGTCTGGCCGCGGTTGCAGAAGAAGCAGTCGCCACACGACACGGTGAAGGGCGACACCACCTTGTCGCCCTGCTTCCAGTTCTTGATCCCCTCGCCGATGGTGTGGACCGAGCCGACAAACTCGTGGCCGAGCACAAAGTCGTAGTGCGGCACGGGCTGGTGGCCGCGGTAGATGTGCAGGTCCGAACCGCACAGCGCCGCCAGGCTCACCTTGACCACCACTTCACCCGGACCGGGCGTCGGGATGGGTCTTTCGACCACAGCAACCTTTTCGGGGCCCTGGATGACGACCGCCTTCATGGTAGTAGGTGCAGACATGGCTGTATAGCTCCGGTGCGGTGGTCGAGTTGATGTTGATGCGAAGAGGAGCGGGTGCGAGTGCAGAGCGAGCGTAGGGGAGAGAGTATATATGGGAGTGGGCGTGCGGGCGGGGGAAGATGGCACGGACCCTTCACGGCCGCTCTGCAGTGGAGGCGAAAAGGCAGATGTCGCGTGCGAAATTAAGCCAGAATTCCCCGTTGGGACGGCGCCCCAAGTCGGTCTCGTCTCGGCTAGATGGCCGGCCTCCAACGCGCTTTCCTTGCCGGCGCAGCCATGGCCCAGCTCGGAGTGCCTCCGATGCCACCCAACGCTCTCTCGCTCTCTCTGTCCTGCCAGCCTTCGAGCCTCAGCCTCGAGCCTTGGCGGCAGGTCAGATGATCTTCTTTGCTTTGCGCTGACTCGTCTGTCAAGCAAAGCCGCTCGTTCGGGACGGCCATCGACCATGCGTGGCGCAGAACTGCCTGCGAGAAGCTTTCCACCCCACCATCAGCCGCGGCTCGCCCACTTGAGCCAGAACTTTGGCGTCCACAATGTTCAGATGGAACTGCAACCATCCCACTCCACGCTCGCCATGTCGCTGCTCACCGGAATGGATGCCAACTGCATCAGCACAGGTCGAGACCGGAAGCAGAACTCTGTTGAACGAACAGGGCGTACCCCAAACTGAATATGTATGCAACATTACTGGCCCGTGCTTAGAAAGCCCGTATAGCTTAGTGGTAGAGCATCAGTCTTGTATCAAGACGCTGAACAGCAGGTCGCGCGCCACTATTCACAACTGAAGGTCACTCGTTCAAACCGGGTTGCGGGCAGTTTTTTGGCCCACAGTAAAATGCGGAGATTCCATACGAGAATAAAGAAAAGAAAAGGGAGAGAAAGGGGCGAGGAGTCGTCGGTAACGCTTGCTTGCGCAAGGTGGAGCATTTTTGCAGATTTTTTGGCGGAAGCGAAAATGCCAAAAATGCCAAAATGCCACGCGATCCATGCGGACCATCGTGCCTTTCTCTTCCGCTCGTACCTCTGCATTCTCATCCACAACCACAACCACATCCTCATCCCACTCACCCGCCACGGCGGTCCCACTGATAGCAGCGTAGTAAAGCGCTCGCTTGTATCCGCCTCGACGCCGCCAATGTCCGACTCGTCTTCGTCGCAGTCATGGCTCTCGTCGCTCTCGACGCCCAGCGGTAGGAACGCCCTCATCCTCACCTCGGTCGCTCTCGGCTCGTCGCTCGCTACGGCGGCAGCCATCTTTGGCACACAGCGCGTCACCCGTCGCAAGAAGCGCCAGGACCTCTCGGACACCGTCGCCAAGTCCGCCAACGCCCAGGCCACCGATCGTCTCCAGCGCTTCGACCTGCACCAGCGCGATGAGGCCTCCTCCTCCACCGACGGCGGCACGCCGCGTTACCTCTCGGGCCTCCAGAGCAACTCGCTCCGCCCCGCTTCCAACCTGCGCAACTCCACCAGCTTCCACTCGCCCACCATGCCCCAGTCGCCCGCAGCGCCGTCGCGCGCAGAAACCATAGGCCGTGCAGACACCTTTTCGCGCAAGCGTCAGCCGTCGGTCGAGCAGTGGGACGAGAGCCTCATCCGCGAGCAGCTCTCGCGCAATTACAGCTTCCTCGGCGAAGAAGGCATGAGCGCCATCCGCAACGCCTTTGTCATCGTCGTCGGCGCCGGAGGCGTCGGCTCCTGGGCCGCCCTCATGCTCCTCCGCTCCGGCGTGTCCAAGCTGCGCCTCATCGACTTTGACCAGGTCTCGCTCTCGTCGCTCAACCGCCATGCGTGTGCTACGCTCGAGGACGTCGGCAGACCCAAGGTGGTGTGCTGCGCCGAAAAGTTCGCACAGATCGCTCCCTGGGCCAAGCTCGAGGCCTGGGTCGAGCTCTTCCGCGGCGACGAGGCAGAGAGGCTGCTGGGTGGCAACCCGACCTACGTCGTAGATGCGATCGACAACATCGACACAAAGGTGGAGCTGCTGCGCTTCTGCGCCGAACGCAAGATCAAGGTGATCAGCTCCATGGGCGCCGGCGCCAAGAGCGATCCCAGTCGCATCCAGATCTCGGACATCAGCGTCACCTCGGAGGATCCGCTTGCGCGCAGCGTGCGGCGCCGTCTGAGGGCGCTCGGTCTGCCACCCATCCCGCCCAAGGAGGTCGAGGACAGGGCAAAGCGCGAGGCAGAGCAGCTCGAAAAGGCGCACGGCCAGCCTGCTCGACCACACAACCATCACCACAAGAAAAAGGGCGCCAGCAAGGGCAAGCTCGATGCGCCAGCGGCGGCTGATCTCGACCGCACACCCATGAAGTCCAGCGCAAGCGACGAGCTCGTCCGACGATCAGCGAGCAACGGCAGCAGCGGCGCATCTTCGCCCAAGGTACCACCGAGTCCTAGCGCAGGTGGGTTTGCGCTGCAGGCGCGACACCCGCGCCACGTCACGTCGTCGCCCTCGCCGCTGGCGTCACGAAGCGGAAGTGCCGCCGATCTGACGGCGCTCAATGGGTCCGGCGTTCCGCCTGCTTCTGCGGCGAGCTCCAGGGCGGTTTCGGGCGCACTGCCGCAGGCGCCACGACACAGCCGTCGCGCGAGCAGTGTGTCGTCGTTCGGCTCGGGTGCATATGCTACGCCCATGACGACGCCGTCGGACGAGATGGCGGCACTCCTGCCCGATGAAGGCGATACCAGTCTGCGGCCGTTGGATGAGCAAGATGACGGCGGCTTGTCAGCCACAGCGCACGGTCTGGATCGAAGGGCGTCGCAGAGCAGTGCGGCTGCATCCGATGCAACGGCGGTGGATCTGGCAGCGCACACGGCTCCGCGCGCGCAGCTGAGCGAAAAGCTGCGTCGTCGAGTGTCCGAGGTGGAGGAACTTTTGCCATCGCCCTCGTCTTCATCGCCGGCGCTTTCCAGGTCGGCGTCGTTCAAGCCGTCGCTGAAGGGTGCCGAGGAGGAGTTGGCGGAGCCGGGATTCTTTATCCCGTGCGTCTACTCGACCGAAAAGTCGGATACGCGATTGCTGCCGCTGGACGACGACGAGTTTGATCGGGGCAATGTGGACGAGCTTGCTGCACTCGAAGACTTTCGTGTTCGCATCTTGCCCGTGCTCGGTCCACTGCCGGCCATGTTTGGATTGGCGGTGGCGACGTTTATTATCTGCGAGATTGGCGGGCAGAAGATGGAGCCTCTGGCGTTCAAGGGCAGGAGGAAGCTGTACGAAAAGATGTTCCACGATCTATCGGTATCCGAGTCCCGACACCCGGTCCCAGGGACAGAGGTTAGGAGTAAAGACGAGGGACCCCGACACTACATCCCATTCAGCGTCAATGATGTGGCCTACCTCTTCGAAGAGGTGTTTAGAGGCAGAAGCGTCGTACCTCCTTACGATAGCTTGTCGGGTGCACAGTTGGAGAGATGGGATTCGACACTGCCCATCAGCTTTCAAAATGTGGCGCTCTTCTCGAGGGCGCAGGCTAAGGTGCACGAACAAGAGGTGCTCAAGAAAGGTAGAAGCCCCGTAGAGGTCTGGGGCCAGGGTGCGGCTCATATGATCAAGAGAAGGATGGCAAGCGAAAGACGCAGCGGCTTCTTCCGATTCTGAAGGCCTCACTCGAATAGAAAAGCCTGCCGCAACATGCGCATGCAAATGTCACAACATCGTGTCGATTGTTTTCTTTTGGGGGGAAAGTGCATGCTCTACAGATCGGTGATGCAGCCGTGCGAGGCGTCGGCGACGTTGCGAACAAACTTGAGCAGGTGGCCCGACTTGGGCTTGAGCGGCAGCGGCTTCCAGGCAGCCCGGCGCTTTTCCAGCTCGGCTTCCGAGACGCCGACGAGCTCGAGCGTGTTGGTCTCTGCGTCGATGCTGATCACGTCGCCGTCGTGCACCAGACCGATGGGTCCACCCACCTGCGCCTCTGGCACCACATGTCCAATCACAAAGCCGTGGCTGCCACCAGAGAACCTGCCGTCCGTCAAGCAGGCGACGTCCTGGCCCAGTCCGGCGCCCATGATGAGACTGGTGGGCTTGAGCATCTCGGGCATGCCCGGACCGCCCTGGGGTCCCTTGTAGCGCAGCACGATCACCGTCTTTTCGCCCTTCTTGATCTCGCCCTTCTCGACGGCAGCGACCATGGCGTCCTCGGTGTCGAAGACGCGCGCCTTGCCCGTGAAACTCAGACCCTCCTTGCCCGTGATCTTGGCCACGGCTCCTCCGGGCGCCAGGTTGCCCTTGAGAATGCGGATGTGGCCCGTAGACTTGAGCGGCTTGTCCACAGTTCGAAGCACGTCCTGGCCTGCGGGCAGCTTGCCGCGCGCGTGCGTCCAGCGGTCGACATTCTCGGCGAGTGTGCGGCCGGTGACGGTCATGTGCTCGCCCTTCATCAGCTTGTTCTCGATGCAGTACTGGATGACGGTGGGGATGCCGCCGAGCTTGGAGTGTACATCCTCCATGACGTACGCTCCCGAGGGCTTGAGGTTGGCGAGGAAGGGCGTGGCGTCGGCGATGCGCTGGAACTCGTCAATGTCGAGCTTGATGCCCACCGAGTGCGCGACGGCGATGAGGTGGAGCACGGCGTTGGTGGAGCCGCCGAGCACCATGGTGAGCGCGATGGCGTCCTCGAAGGCGCCGCGCGTCATGATGTCGCGCGGCTTAATGTCCTTCTCGAGGATGAGGCGCATGGCCGCACCCATCGACTCGGCCTCGGCGATCTTCTCGGGGTACTCGGCGGGGAAGGACGAGCTGCCGGGAAGCGTCATACCGAGCGCCTCGGCACACGAGGCCATGGTGTTGGCGGTGTACATGCCTCCGCAGGCGCCCGGGCCGGGGCATGCGTTGCGCACCGTGTCGTAGCGGATCTTCTCGGCGTCGGGCGTGCCGCCGTTGGCGAGGTACTGGCCGTAGGACTGGAAGGCGGAGACGATGTCGAGAGTACCGCTCACGCTGGCACAGCCACCGGGGCGGATGGTGCCTCCGTACAGCATGATACCGGGACGGTTGAGACGGCCGAGCGCCATGAGCACGCCAGGCATGTTCTTGTCACAACCGGGGATGACGACAGCGCCGTCGAGCCAGTGGCCACCGCAGGCGGACTCGACCGAG